TCCTTGAAGATACTTTGTCTGTTTCGATTATTTCCTTCCCTGAAGATACTTTGTTTTGATTATTTCCTTTCTTGAAGATACTTTGTTTGTTTCGATTACGTCCTTCCCTGAAGATACTTTGTTTGTTTCGATTATTTCCTTCCTTGAAGATACTTTGTTTGTTTTGATTAGTTCCTTCCCTGAAGATACTTTGTCTGTTTCGATTATTTCCTTCCTTGAAGATACTTTCTTTCGATTATTTCCTTCCCTGAAGATACTTTGTCTGCTTCGATTATTTCCTTCCTTGAAGATACTTTGTTTTGATTATTTCCTTCCCTGAAGATACTTTGTCTGTTTCGATTATTTCCTTCCTTGATGATACTTTGTTTTGATTATTTCCTTCCTTGAAGATACTTTGTTTCGATTATTTCCTTCCATGAAGATACTTTGTCTGTTTCGATTATTTCCTTCCTTGAAGATACTTTATCTGTTTCGATTATTTCCTTCTCTGAAGATACTTTGTCTGTTTCGATTATTTCCTTCCTTGATGATACTTTGTCTGTTTCGATTATTTCCTTCCTTGAAGATACTTTGTTTGTTTCAATTATTTCCTTCCTTGGCGATACTTTGTCTGTTTCGATTATTTCCTTCCTTGCAGATACTTTGTTTGCTTATAAGATTTGTTTGTATAATATTATTTGTACAAAAATACTTACAAATAATCTTACAGTGTAAGGTTTTAAAATTTTGATGAACCTTATTGACACAAGTACCTTTGGAAACTCCTTAGGTAGGGTCACTTGGCTAACATGAGTTCAAACCTAAAGTTTCTTATCGTGTTTTGGTTATTACGTTGTTGTCATGGGAAGGGGACAAGAGATACCTCTGTAGCTCTCAGCAGGGACCACCACCGACAGCTAGTGAATTACTAGGGCCGGGAAATATGATTAGGGAAGAAAGAATGATGTGTGAATCCGTTTATATAAACACCACTCTATGAGATACTTCAGGAAGACGGGACTATGGAAGTTGAACACGTGGGGAACTGAAAGTTTAAAAAATGTCCTACTTGCTAACAAAAGATAAAGGCCTTACTGAGAGGCGTGTATGAAGAGAACAAACACATCGACAGCCTAAATTGGCCATATTTTTTATTACTCACTGAAGTTCTTTACAACTCAAAGCATACAACCAAGTATTCTTCAGGGAATAAGCCCAGGCCATTCTCCAAACAGATGTGACTATCTCTTTGCTTGTGGCCTACTTACCACCCTTCGGTTTTATCGGGCCAGTTAGTCTAAAGATGACATTATAAAGGACATTTTTTTTGTTTGTTTTTTCTGTTACAGCTATGGCAGATGAAAGAACTTAACAAATCGAGATATTCATAGCTTTAATGTTTCAATTATCATTGGATTTGTTAACGTCACTTAATCTAAAAGATATTCATAGCTTTAATGTTTGTGCCACTGGGGAGCAGTTATTAGACACATAATAGTGTTACGTTTCTAAAATTATTTAATTTTTTTACACAGAAGTGTTTTTGCTTACCTTAATATTAACAAATTAAATAAATCGCTATGTACGAACACTCACTAAAAAAAACAACAAAAAACACCCAAATAGGAATAATTATATAATCAAACTGTTTCAAGATGTAACTTAATAAAAACCAAACAGGTTGAACCATAATTAGTCAGGTTTGATAAAATGTATACATCCCAAGTCCAGTTTACCTGTAAAGGAGAAAAACAACACAAACTTGACCATTACACCATAATACCAGATAAATGGCATCATCCGAGATAGGTACCGGACAAAAAAAAATAAGTGCAAAATTATTTTTGGATTCCATATTGTAAAATATGTACATTAGTGAAGATTTCAACATTTCGCGTTTAGTTCAATTCTAGAAAGCATGCAATATTGACATAACGGTAAGTTTCTTGGGTTTTTTAAAACATTAATTTACATAAATGCATTATATATATATATTGGTATGTGTATACGTGTTCACAATTATCTACATCTAGATGGTTGCTACGTATATCGCTCGAGTTTGTATAATCCTTCCTAAATATTGTGTTTTTTGAGCATAAGTTAAGGAAATGGGCCAAACAGTTTGTGTTTAAAGTATACAGGTTGTATATTCTCACTTATTTGATCACGGACAGAGTGTTGAAGGTTCGAAGTTTTCCATTCCTTTTTCAACACAAACTCTCCCACTTTTTCAGTGACGATCATGATTATATATAACTTTGTTTCTAAGCGTTTATGTCATCTTATGATCGGGGAATAATTCTTTGTTGTTTTATAATCTGTGTTTAAAATTTGATGAAACCTCTGTTCACAGTAGCCTTGTACAGGATGACAGAAATATGAAACGACTTTAAACGAGTAGATTGCCAGGTGGTTAGGGCGCTTGACTCGCAATCTGAAGTTCGCGGGTTCGAATCCCCGTCCCATAAACGTGCTCGCCTTTTAAACGATACGGGCGTTATAATGTGTCGGTCAATCTCACTATTTGTTGGTAAAAGAGTAACCTAAGAGTTGGCGGTGGGTAGGGATGACTAGCAGCCTTCCCCCTAGTCTTTCACTGCTAAATTAGGGACGGCTAGTGCAGATAGCCCTCGTGTGGCTTTGCGCGAAATTCAAAGCGAGCCCAAAAAAAATAGATTAATATGAAATATAACATGTGTTCTCGAAATCTAACGTTCTTCGAAGCGCGAGAGTTTGATGGTTTCTTTCTTTTCACATTAAGTCAAAATCAAGATTTAATGATCAGATTAGTACCAAAAATCATTACTTTAAATATAATGTGCCATCTGTTTAGATTGACTTAATCCACTTTAATGATTTTGGTTAATGAATGATATTTCATAAAAACATAAGAAAAATTTTCGGAATTCGGAAGAAAATGTGTACTCCATTTTTAAGAAATAAAATAAAAAAAACAGCTTAAGAAAAGACCTTATAACACTGCCTTGTGTGTGTGTGTGTATGTGCTTTATTTTTTCTTATATATTTGTAGTTTTTTGTATTAAATACAAAGGGACTTTGAAACTCGGTCTCATTTTCCATTTAATTCCATCAAAGACCAAATGTTATAAAGGTAAAAGAATCACGTGGTAACATTTTTTCAAGTTCTGTTATTTTAGTTTATTCAAGTTAGTTTTGTATCGAGATCTATAAAATCATCAGAAAATAAAACGAATTCAGTGATACTAAAAGTTTTTTTTTCTGTACTTGATTGTAAAACGGATACGTTATCAGGGTAAACATAAATAACAAAACACGATTTGAACCCACAGATTCTATGCTGAAATTTTCTTTTAATAACTCAAACACATTTTATCTTACATAGCAGAACACTTCTCTCACAAAAATAGATTAAGTTTAATATTGTTAATTTTTTCATATAAAATGTTTTTTTTGCACTCTTTAATTACGCTGTCATTACGCTAATGCTACAGTGATGTGTTGCAATAACAACCTGTCATTGCTCTGATGCTACAATAATGTGTTCCTATGACAACCTGTAATTGCTCTGATGCTACAATAATGTGTTGCCATGACAACCTGTAATTGCGCTAATGCTGCAGTAATGTGTTAGTATAAAAAGCTATTATTGCGCTGATGCTACAATAATGTGTTGCTATAACAACTGTAATCGCGCTGATGCTGAGATGGTGTTATAGGACAAGTTACAACGATATTCTGAAAGGCCTTTAAATGGATATCTGAAGAAAAAAAATATATATTATTCACTAATTTTCTTGGAAGGTTTTTATTTCATTCCCATAGTTGTTATGTAAGATTCTTGTATTCAAAATGGTTTCTGATTAATGTAAGGTTCAGTACAAAATAATTTTAAATTAAAGCTAAATCGTGTTTATGTAGTATAAAATACTAATATAATTTTGGAAATCCTGCTTATTTCGTGCATTTAAAAGTAATTTCATATTACCCAATAGCCATTAATCTTCTTATGCGCGTTCACTTAACAGGTTTGGTTGAGGATACGTTTGACACCTAAAGTAATATTAATGACAAATCCCAAATTAACTTATAAAACACCAGTGCGTTACTTTTCCTATGTATGTATGTACTTGGCTTAGTTTTAATGTCTGGATAACGTCTATCTTTAAACATTCTTGATAAGAAAGTTTGGAACGATTTAAATTCATCGGTCTGTTATTATTCATTTGTATTAGTTCCTATTTGAAATAACAAGCAGAGTTTCGTATTTCATTAGGTACTTCATAACATTCGCTTTAAATGTTTTATACTAAAAGTAAACTTTGAGAACAGTTAGAAGATGAGTAAAAGTGAAATAGTCTACGTTTAAGTTTTTCAGCAAGCAGAGGAAGTACATCGAGTCACAACAGACGGACTACTTATACATCTTTCAAAAGATCTTCCTACAAACAGGCATAAATAGAACGATATACCTTTCACAATTATCATGGAAACTTATCGAAATGTCTACAAAATAAAACAAATTACCGAACTTTTGACTTACCCAGTATACAATTGACTTTGGTAAGCTTTTTTTAATTAACAAACAAATTCTCGTTTCTCAGTTGGTTCATAAAATAGTTATTTGATCGTTCTTAAGAAGTCATTCGTTAATTTGTATGCATATAATTTACAAACTATCGATAGTTGAAATATCACGTGAAGTTTTTTTTTTTTCACTTGCTGAAGGTGGATCCACGAGGTTCAATGTTATCTCAAGGAAACATTCCCTAATTAATGAAAGTGAAAATAGAAACTCTTCAGTCCGTTGAATGCGTTTCAAGTTAAGATTCTAATCATATGTGGTTTTTGCGCGAAGTCGATATATAAGCAGAGCTCAAGGATTCTGGTAGTTTCGAAACACCCTCATAAATATTATGTATTACAGGATTTTGGAAGAGCTGGACATGCGGGTTTGGTAGTCGTAGTGGACCAGCTGAAACTTCTTCATCTGTGTCCACTGAGAAATTACAAGGACCTTCGTCATTTTCTGAATCCCTCTGTTACATCAAAGTCTTCTCGCAACCATATTGGTTGTGATGATGATTGTTGACCCACAGATCAGATGGTGGTGATACTCGAGTGTTTCCACTAGCAGAGCAGGTAGTGTTTACTTTTGCTGTGTCTTCTGGATGGTCAGGAGCAAGTAAACTTTCAACATCAAACATCCTTCGTTTGGTAGAAATACTGCCCTTCGGGGACTTTGTGACTTCTGACTTTTCGAAGTCCGTAAGCATATTTTGGTGTTGTTCATGAGAAGATGTATGGTTGCTTTCAAGTGGTAGAGCAGAGCCAGAGTTGTCATCTTCTTCAGCTATATCCAACCCCATATGCTTTCTAACTTTTCTCTGGGCCTTTCGACGCGTAAAGTCTCCCTTTTTAAAATCTTCCACGTTGGCTGGATGGATAGCCCAGTAGTGACCCTTTCCATTAGCGCTTCGTCCAGCTTTAATGAAACAATCGTTCAGAGACAAGTTATGACGAATACTGTTCCTCCAGCCGGGTCCTCGGTTCCGGAAATAAGGATAATTGTCCAAGATGTATTGATATATATCACTTAATATTAGCTTTTTCTCCGCTGAACTGAGGATAGCCTTAGCAATCAGGCCAATGTAAGATTGCTGAGGCTTCGGCTCCTCGTGAAAAAATCTTCCTCTGAAATCAAAGTGAGTGAAAGGAGCAGAAACAAAGGGTAGAGATGGATGTCCATGAACAGTAGCTTGGACACTGTATGGTTCAATAGCGTAAGCCGGCAGGAAGGCTGGGTGCTCACATCGGACATTGGATGTAGCTTGAATATATTCGTAGAACTGGAGCCGCTGGTATTCCATCAATACAGCGGAGTTGGCTACGACAGGACGGGGTCCGAAAGAGATGTTCGTGGGAACTGGGAGATCTTTTATCACGAAAGGTACTGACATTTGAGGACGGTTAGTATACATTACTTGTTCAGACTAAAGGCTAACACCACAACGCTCAGTTTTGAAACCGTCCAAATAATCAACCTAAACCCATCAACCTAAATTCTCCGTAATGTTTTTTTAACCTGTCGGCCACTATATGTCTGTATCAACAGAAATCGCTGATTGGTCAGAGAAATGATTGACAATCATTCGCAGGGGTTGGTGCCGGCCCCAAACTATGTTGTCAATCAATCTACTAACGATGGGGGTGGGGCACGCCAAATGAATGGCAGCACTAGACCTCACGTGGTTGGTGAGGTAGCAGAAAGAGACAAGGGATCTCCAGTTGTTAATCGAACCTCGATCATTGTTATCGTAAAAGTTAAAGCTCAATTACATATATTTAAAAGACATAGCTAAAAGTGCTCTGCCAGTACCGTAAAAAAAAATATTTTATTTTCGTAGTACAGTGATAACGTAGAAAACGATTACTATTAGCTTTGTGGTATATATAGTCAAGGGAACAAACTGGGAAAGTGTAATTTCAAACAAGGTATATTGTGTTAAACAAGATATACTGTGTTAAACAAGATATACTGTGTTAAACTAAAGGTACCACGTTACATGCTGCATCCAATAGACAGTTTTTCTTATGTTAGATGAAATGGTAAATGAAATATATTGTGTTAAACAAATTATGTTAAATAGGCTGTTTGATGTTAAAACTATATCGTATTGAATAAAATGTACTATGTTAAACAAACTGTATACTGTTAAATAGACAGTTTTTCTTATGTTAGATGAAATGTTAAATGAAATATATTGTGTTAAACAAATTATGTTAAATAGGCTGTTTGATGTTAAAACTATATCGTATTGAATAAAATGTACTATGTTAAACAAACTGTATAATGTTAAATAGGTTGTTTGATGTTAAAACTATATCATGTTGAATAAAATGTACTATGTTAAACAAACTGTATAGTGTTAAATAGGCTGTTTGATGTTAAAACTATATCGTGTTGAATAAAATGTACTATGTTAAACAAACTGTATAGTGTTAAATAGGCTGTTTGATGTTAAAACTATATCGTGCTAACGAAAATGTATTGTTAAACAAACTGTGTAGTATTAAACAAAACAAAGTTTTTGAAGCTAAATAATAGTGGGTTAAAAACTGTTTTATATTAAATATAGGGCACTGTGTTAGATAAACTGTGGCTTCTTAAAAAAAGTGAATCGTGTTAAAAACGTTATATCTTAAATAAGTTTTCTCGTATTAGATATCGTAACACTAATATCCTACCTATACTGTTGCACTGAATCTGTAGGATAATAGTAAGCGATACTGTTCAACGAACATTAATGTATGATAATAACGGAAGCTAACAGCTAATGCTTTTATGTCCCAGAGCAAGGTATACTATATTATTTCTTTATTGTTACTTTCATTAACGGTATTGGCTATAATGTTTAACACGTCTAATGTCATTATTTTGATTTTATTCTAGAAATTGTTTTGCATTGTTAGTTTAATGTGTGGATTAAGAACTAATCTTAGGCTTCTAAGCTGGCCGAGCCTCGTGAGATATTATTGGGTTTAAGGCCGAAAATATCGCTTACAGCGAGGATAACTAACTATAAAACAATGCATTCTAATGTTTATAAATAAGAACGTAAAAAGTATGTTTAATTAACAATACTCATTACCAGGTTGATTTTTTTTAAGTTTCGCTCTAAATAGGTAACTTGCTCTAATAGAAAGTTAATATTAATTAAAACAATTATAGCAGGCTATACGGTGCCGTTAAAACTGTATAATTATAAAAACTATACGGTGACGTTAAAATTGTATAATTGTAATAAACTATACGGTGACGATTAAATTGTATAATTATAGCAAACTATACGGTAACGTTAAAATTGTATAATTATAAAAACTATACGGTGACGTTAAAATTGTATAATTATAAAAAACTATACGGTGTCGTTAAAATTGTACAATTATAAAAACTATACGGTGACGTTAAAATTGTATAATTATAAAAAACTATACGGTGACGTTAAAATTGTACAACTATAGTCAGTTATGTTGTAATACTGAAAATGGCATATGATAATTACAGGCTGTACTGTGACACGTAAACTGTGTTACGATAATATCCTATAACACAACATTGAACATAAAAGTCGGGCTCTATACGTCAGTCAAGTTCCGATATTGTTGGGAACTTCCTATATAAGACAAGAAGTTTCAAGCAGCATTATTAATTTTATCAAACGATTAAGAATATTTCGTCTCTAACGACATTGTACTTTTACTAACTTTTATAATAAAATAAGACAAAAATGTCATATACAAAAGTTGTAAATAATCGACTAATTCCGAAGTTCGGATTAAAATCTTTTCAGCTTTTATCTAAGATGTAAACACATCAATATCAATGCGTTTAAGAAACTTGGATATAACTTATGTTAAACGAAGAAAAAATACATTACTGAATAGTTTAGCGATCCCTTGTATTTAAATCCTTAGTTTAGCGATCCCTTGTATTTAAATCCTTTATTACTTTAGTCATTCCAAACAATAAATGACATATCACACACAAATACCGGAGTCAAACATTTCACACGTACAAAAACAGTCCAATTAAAATAAAGGAGTCAGCCGTTTACTTTAGTCATTCCAAACAATAAATGACATAGCCATATCACACACAAATACCGGAGTCAAACATTTCACACGTACAAAAACAGTCCAATTAAAATAAAGGAGTCAGCCGCCATTTTATACAACCTTATATCTAAAGGCAAGTACTGTAGTGATTCCAGCCATGTTAGAAAGGTACGACTCTATATAAGGACCGATCCTTTGGTAAAACGTGGGGTGTTACCACAACTGTTCTAAATGCTAGGATCCCACCATTCTTATATTTCGAAACAGATCAAAACACTCTTACATCAAAATAAGAACAACCGCTTCATATCTGTGTCAGGTGAATAGAAATAAGCAATCAGAAAAGTTGATAAAATTACTGTTTCTCTTCTTTGTTTCCTTGTTGAAGAAGTAAAACATAAGGCAAACAAAAGAAGCTTAGCGCGAAAAAACAACAACACTGATATATATACTATCCCGAACTATGGAATGCTTGACAAATATAGGAAATATATTAATATTTCCTTTACAGATCTTCCCTTAATAATTTCAGTGATTAATTCCTCTCCACAGCCAGCGTGTTTATTGCAACTAGAACGAACAGGTATATAAAACATAAAAGGAGAGCACGTTTTCTCAGTATTTATTCTTATTTATATTACTTACTTTTACATTACATCTTTACACAGTTTACTCTTTTATATAACTTTGTTATTTATATATATATAACATTTTTATATAGACACATAAAACTACTCTAAACTCCTATAATACATATCACTCTAATGTATAATATGTCCTCTTTGGACATTGTGTAATAATGAAACTATTTTACTCTCAGATAACACATAATGTTAAAACATAATGACACATAAAACTACTCTAAACTCCTATAATACATATCACTCTAATGTATAATATGTTCTCTTTGAACATTGTGTAATAATGAAACTATTTCACACTCAGATAACACATAATATTAAAACATAATGAAACAATGACATTACTTTAAGTTCCGATAATATATCATTCAATATAAGTATCCTCAATATGAATCTGATAACACTATAAATAACCTCAATATGAATCTGATAACACTATAAATAACCTCAATATGAATCTGATAACGCTATAAATATCCTCAATATGAATTTGATAACACTATAAATATACTGAATATGAATCTGATAACACTTTAAATCAGATCTTGCATGAAAAAAGCACGCCTGATTCTCATAAGACATTTAACAGAAAACCTAGTATTATGTTTTAACATTATGTGTTATCTGAGTGTGAAATAGTTTCATTATTACACAATGTCCAAAGAGGACATATTATACATTAGAGTGATATCTATTATAGGAGTTTAGAGTAGTTTTATGTGTCATAAGAAGACATGTATTATACGAGGATAATACAATAATAATAAAAAGTGTGTTGTGTACGAACCTGGGATATGATACTGTAAAAGGTTCGTATTTCTTTCAACATTGTATATAAATATATTCTATAGCACAAAATTGCTTGTAATTTTCAAACGTTTACATCTTAAGAGATTAACTAATATGTATGGCAGAAGTTTTATAATATAGTTTCATATTAACTTACAGTTGACAGATAATGTAAGAAAACTGAGTTGTTTCTTTTCATTTTGTGCGCATTGTAGGAGGTTACAGAGGAATCATGTTATAGACAGATGGAACTTGTTTCCATAAGGGGAATTGGTACTAATCTTTATAGCAGTCAGATTGTAGGGGATTTTATAGGATAATGTTATAAGAGTGGGGTTGGTACTAATCTTTATACCAGACTTATTATAGAATATTGGCACTATGAGAAGCGTTATAGAACAGTGGTAATAAAATTTAAATGCGTGAGTTATAAGAGTAACAGTTTTCAAGGTATGATAAAATTTTCTTGAAATTTAGCCAAAATTCTCCTTATATAGTATGGTAAAAACATGGCTGTGTCGTATAACTGGCATTTAAAATCAAACATATATTGTACTTTTATTGTTTACGTGTGTGTTATCTACGATATCTGTTAGTCTACGATCAAACCAAACTCTTTAGGTTTTGTTTCACGAAAACAAAAAACTGGCGTATTTTTAAATATTTGCCGTATAAGATATGACATTATAATGAAATATAGCAGTATTTCGCTTTATGTGATGTTGCAGTTTTTTCTACTCCCGTTGGCTCATCGGTAAGTTTCAGAGCTTACAACGCTAAAGTTCGAGGTTCGACACCCGTGATAAGCACAAAACAGGGAGCTCATTGTGCATCTTTGCGCTTAAAAGACAAATAAAAATAGTTTTAGGCCCACGATGAATTAATTACAACATATACATGTACATACGTAT